AAAAAAAAAAAAAAAAAAAAAAAAAGGAAGATGATCAGGGTGAGGATTTGGTCCCAGGCAGCCTGCTGTGGAACCTGAACTCTAAAATCATCCTGAAGGTCATGGCCCCTGGACACGGGGGCCTCTGTTAAAATGAAATCTCAGCCCAGAAGATCTGACAGCATCATTGAAATGGGAATCACGTTCCTACTACGCCTTCTCATGACCTTGTCTGTAGCGTCTAAAATCGTACTATGCTGAGATCAAGTCCACTGTCCCAATATGGCCCTGGGAACATTTCCTGAAGTGTGGGGCTCCTGGAGGCCAGGGAAGACACCACATGCTCCTAAGTGGTAAGAGAGAAGGCAGAGGATAACAGAAGGAGAATGTTGCCCCCATTTTAATTCTCTCTAGATCCTGAACTCAGAGAGAAGTCTCGGGTTAGTGCTAGTATGGCCTGAGTGCCTCTGACACAGCCAAATCCCCTTTTTTGCTAAGACAGCAGCCCTCAGCCAGGAGCCTCCAGCGGGCCATGAGTCTCCCCGGAAATCATCAACGCCATCTTGCTTTCAGAGTATTTGGGGTTATTTCTATTTACACCTTCTATTAATGCAAACAATGCTGGTTTTCCATCTGAATAGTGAATGAGTTTTCCTGTTTAAATACATGTAATTAAATAAAAAGAGGATCCAGTGGAAGAAAAAAGTAAGAAATTAGAGTTGGTATGGAATATAGCAATAACTGGGGAGTGGGTGGGAGTTGGAGGATCCTTTGGAAGAGCAGATTTAAAGCTTGCCCACTGGAAGGTGGGGTCCGGAGTAGCACCCCTTGTTGCAGGATAGCACGTATGTCCCCTACCCCTACTCTGTGCCCACCTCAGGCCAGGAAAACGAGAGAAGAACGACAGTAGACCTTTTCTCATAAAATGTTCAGTTCTACCTGCCTGTGCTGACCTCAGAGGCGGCTTTGCACAGTGTCAACCAAAAACTGATCAAAGGGCAAAGTGAGCAGGTCTCTGGCTTAGGTTAGGGTGGAAAGTGACTGGGGTTAGTCCAGAGGCACCAGGATGTCCCTGAGAACTTTGTCATTGAACAATGAGCAGCAGCAGCCAGAATGCCTGTATGGGGACCTTGTCACAATTAAACGGATCCAGACAGACCTTCCCTCTGCATTGGCCTCTAAGGGAGCCCCTCCTCCTTACCTGCCTGGTTGCACCTGGGGCTTCTCCTTGCCGGAAATGGAATTAGCTGAGCTGATACCAATAGTGCCCAGAAGGTCCAGCTCCCAGCAAACGCTCATAAGTAGATTTTATCTGCACTGGGCTCCTACATCCTCTTCTGTTCTCTCCTTTCACTGCCTCCCTATCCTAGACTCCCTGCCCATGACTCTTGGCTTGGAAATTTAAGTGAGTGACTTATTTAAACTAAAGCATGAGTGACTACCTGTAAAAAGATGATGGGCGTACAGAAGGGAATATTTAACCAAAAGAAAAGAATTATTAAGGCTGGGTGTGATGGCTCATGTCTGTAATCCTAGCACTTCAGAAGGCCTAGGTGGGTGAGCTCAGGACTTCGAGACCAACCTGAGCAAGAGCAAGACCCTGCATCTAAAAAATAGCTGGAGGTTGTGGTGGGTACCTGTAGTCCCAGGTACTCAGGAGAATGAGGCAAGAGGATCTCCTGAGCCCAAGAGTTTGAGGTTGCTGTGAGCTATGACACAGCAATCTGCCAAGGGTGACAAAGTGAGACTCTGTCTCAAAAAAAAAAAGAGAAAAGAATTATTAATTGTGGAATTTTAGGTATGGAGAGAAGGGGACTAAAATCCCTCAAGTGACCACCACAAAGCAGGATGAAGGCATTGATCAGCAGACAAGGGGTGGTTTTCCTTGAGCACAACTATGTCCTACATTATGACCACAGCCCCATGCGGGAAGATTGTCCAAGCCATGCAGAAGCACATGCCACGGACACGAGCGTGCTGGGTGGAGAGACCACGCTACCTAGGAGGCGAATGGAGCTCCTGATCTCCTTGGCGAAGCTGGAATTGGACAAGGTGGTTCTCCGGGAGGTGAGAACAGGGATGCGGGTGATGGGGGGGCGATGATAGCTGGGCACATTAGGGAGGTGGTCCACCACATTTGGGGGCCCGGGTCCAGGGGCCACCTGGACAGACAGCTGGTCCTGGACCAGGAGGTTCAGCTCCATGTTGCGGCCTGGGTTAGCCATGGTGCTGGTGCCAGAGGGTCTCAGGCAGAGACAGGACCCTGGGGGCTGCAACCAGGAGCACAGAGTTGGGGGAAGCAAGAGAGGTGGACTCCTCCCGCCAGCACCAACACACACCAGCCTGGAGCCACCCTGCACCGGCAGCAGTGCCACCCAAGGTCTGAAGCACACTCTTGTCCCTGGAGGTCAACACCATCAAGTCATGTGGTTGGTCTGCTCTGGAGCTTTGAGAGACAGCTCAGCAGACCCCCAACTTCTCACGCTCTCTCTACTTACAAACCACCAGTACAACACCCCATCTCATACTCAGAAAGAACCCAAAAGTCTTAGACACCAAGATTCTTCGACTCAAAGAACCCTGGACCCAAACATCCTTAGCCTGGTAGAATTGTCTCGTCCTGAGAAACCCTGGAGGTTAATTCATTTCACTTCCAGCCAGAAGCAATAACTCTTCCTAGGGTCCTGGGTCCCAAACTGGGTGGCACATTGGAATCACCTGAGGAAGTCTGGAGATTTCCGACAGCCCGACCCATCCCCAGAGATGTTACCCGGCATTGAGAATTTTTTCAATCTCCAGAGATGAATCCAATGTGCAGTCAAGTTTGAGAATCAGGGCCCAAGGCTATTTCGTTTCAAATACCAAACAGACCACAGGCAATCTTGTTACCAGTAGATTCTGAATCTGCTGCAGGGGTCTGAGATTCTGCCTTGCTAACTAGCTTTCAAGTGATGCCAAAGATGCTGATTCTAGGGCCACATTTTTGAGTAGTACGGGACAAATGGCTATGCCCCAGCGCTTCTCAGAATGTGGCTCAGACCACCTGTTTTCAAATTGTCGAAGGGCCCAAACCAGCCCCACGGAACCTGTGTCTGCACCTCTTTGCTCCCAGTCTCTCATCTATGTGGGGGCCCAGCCTCAGGCCTGGAGTTCATAGGTTTCTTACAAGTGTGTCTGGAAGTTAGCAGAGGGAAGACACAACATGCTCCTAAGTGGTAAGAGACAAGGCAGAGGATGACAGTGGCAAGTGAGCTCCAGACACCCAGGGTCGGGACCCCTGGGTGCAGTCTCATTTCAGTCTCTGGCTCGCTAGGAAACATCATTGCCCCCATTACTGATACCCCCTCAGTGCCAGCCACAGTTCTGGGGCACTGTTATCCCTACGCTGCCTAAAACCCTGGCTCTGGGCCACACAGTGAGGAAGGGAAAGAGGATGCAAGGAGTGAAGTGTAGTTTTGTGCCCTGACCTCTGGGCCAAATGTGCCATACACTAAGCCTCAGTCGTCCCATCTGTAAAATGGTTTGTCTCCTAGGGCAGGGAAGCACCTGTGGTTTGGGGAATGTGGAGGAGTATAAGGCTCACAACACCCACAGGCCAGGCCTCATGGTCTGCCTGTCCCTATCTTCCTGGCTTGGCCACTGTCTAGCTCCCCTGGACTCTCTCCTCACCATTCCTGGAGTTCTCAGGATGGGAGTAGGGCAGTAAATGACGGCCAAGTGCACATACTGGCTACAGCCTGGAGATCTAAGCAGCCAGGAAAACCTCATAAAGAGATGCGGAGTCTAGGACATGCTGTCAACAAGCTCTGGTCCCAATTTTCACTCAGATATGTTATGTCTAAGCCAAACCCTCAGAGGGTAGGAGCCCAGAGAGCTGCATTCTCATTGGGGGGTGGGGGGGGCGGCAGGAAAGGTTGGCTGGGTGTGGGGTCTCTGAAATACATCATGGGGCTGTGATAATGTGGCCCCAAGAGACAGAGGATGAGAAGGAGATGGAGAGAGGAGGAGGGGTTGCCCCTACAGCGAGGGTACCCCCAGCCTTGTACAGCCTGCCCCCCACCCCCCAAAACCCCCACCATACACCCACCTTCTGAGCTGGCAGCCTCAGACTCAGACTCAACCTGGGCTTTGGATTCAGCCTCCTCCAGCACCTCCTGCAAAAGTGAAAGTGGATATAGAAGCTATGACCATCAGCCCCTCGCTCCTAGTCTAACCCAGCCCCTCTCTGATCTGCCCCATTCTGCTTCTTGCCTTGCCTGCCAGGCCCTGCCAACTTTCTGGACATGCGGGGAGATGGGCTGCAACCTGCAGAGGGCCGTGCACACAGGAGCCACAGGCCCTGGCCCCCAGACTTGTCACCTGCAATGAGGGGAACAGCCATGCAGCCCCAAACATGTGGGGACAAGGCAACAAAAGCGGCCACCATAGACTCCCACCTGAGGACCACACTTCACTGTGCAAGCCCTTTGGGACCCTCCTGCAAAGCCCAGGATGCATTTGTAGTCCCATTTTACACAGGTGGCCACTGAGGCCCCAAGTGGAGAGGCAACTAGCCCAGAGTCAGGCGGCCAGGTGGGAACTAGAGCCCAGATTTACCTACCTTGCTATGGGCAAGGATTTTCCTGACACCATCCAGGGGCGTCCAACCTGCAGCCCATGAGCTACATGCCTGATCTTGTAAATACTTTTTTTGCTTATCTGTGGTGTTGGATATCGTGAAAAGTATGCATGAACATTTTCTTTTGCTAATCATCTTTCATTAGTGTTTCTGTGGCCCAAGGCAAGTCTTACTCTTTCAAAACATGGCATAGAAGAAAAAGGGTTGGACACCCCAGATCTCTGCTCTGAGCAGGGCCTCACCAGACCCATCACCCTGCTCCCACTCTGCCCTTGGGCATCTCAACAGCCAAAGATGAGTTGAGATCCAGGAAATGTCCCCCTGGAAGAAGGTGGACAGGGCCCCAGCCCTTCTGCCAACTCCAGGCCGGGCCTCAGAGGTGCTCTGGTACCTGATGCTTCTCCATACCTGATGCGAGGCCTCCAAGGACTGGGTTTCCTCTACTGAGCTCTGGTCCACGCACACCTCCTCCACCAAACAGCTATCCAGCAGGACTCTGTGACCACCAGGGGGCAGGAGAAAAGAACTGGAGTTAGGTGTGTTAAAGGTTTCTTGATCCCTGCCAAGTGCCAGGCTCTGTGCGGGGAGCAGAGGGCATGGGGATGCTTAAGAACATGCCCCCCTTGGCTCGGCGCCTATAGCTCAACCGGCTAAGGCGCCA